ACACCTGCACAGTGCGCTCAATACCATAAGTCATCATAAATTTTGCATAAAAGGAAATAAAAAATTTCCGTTTAGCGGTCGTTTTTATTTGAAAATGACTCAGCTATTCAGTGAGTAATTTTTCCGCCAAAAATTTAAGTGGCCGTACACGAGAACCGCGCACACCTGGGGCTGAATTTGATAACTTTAAGTCGTATATGGGCTGAGAACATCTTCTGAAAATTTCAGCCTCCCAGCTTTCCTGGTTTCCAAATTTCCCATTTTCCCGCCAGAAAAGTTTCACGGGGCCGTAAATGAGAACCACGTAAATGAGAACCACGTGCGACAATGAGAACCAACTTAATAGGTTTATGTTGTACTTATGCTAGGAACATTCGTTGAAAACTTCGACCTCCCAGCTTTTCTGGTTCTCAATTTAGCCATTTTCCCGCCAAAGAAGTTTCACAGGGTTGTACATGGGACCCACGCACATCTAGGGGCTGAATTTGAAATCTTCGAGTTTTATTTGGACGGGGAACATAACCTCAAAGTTTCAGCTTTCTATCTTTTCTCGTTCCCGAGTTATCAATTTTCCCGCCAAAACTTTCACCCCCTCGTACGCAGGGCCCAGACTTGCGTGAGGATTGGTACCGCGATTCTGGTAGGCACTTAGCCGGGGTACCCACTAGCAAAACCTCGGCGCTGGAACTTGCTTGGTTGCCGAATTGAAATACTCGGACACACACACACACATACACAAACGGGGTCGTCGCAATATGCGTTTTTGCAATTTGCATGTAGGCAAAAACGCGTTATAACTAATAATAGTAGTAGTGATAGCAACAGCAATAATGGTAATGATGATAATAACAGTAATGATAATAATAACATCAATAATAATAACAGTTCTTCAGCTCTTCATGTAATTCGATCGTATCATTTCAGGGATGAACAAGCGGTGGAGGCTAATCGAGCACTACAGTGGACCAATGGTTTGGCCTCGTCAAGTGCCTTTATCACGCTGGTCAGTGGTCCGAATGCCACTTCGGCAGGCGCCGAATCGGGATCGGTCCCGCCGGATGTTTGGCATCGCACTGATAGTGGCGATCTTGGTTATGCCGGTCAGAGTAATACCCAGCAGCTGCTTGCGTCCACCGAAAAAGTGAGTTCCTCTTTGTGTTGTAATGTACTGTATTCGACGAACTTCAAGGGAATGTCCCCTACTAATTTACGACCAAAATCAAGTGTTTGAAAGCACCCAGGGCCCACGTACAGGCACGTGGAAATTTTGGCGCGAAAATCACTAGCCTGGGAACGAAAAAAGCTAGAAAGCTGAAACTTTAGGTTAATGTTCCCTACTCATGTGTGACCAAAAAATTTTTAATTCAGCTTCTTAAAACCGCCCACTACTCAAGTACGGATACGTGAAAATTTTGATGGGAAAACTGCTAAGGAACGGGAAAAGCTGAAGGCCTTATTTTTAAGGGAATATTTCCTGCTCATGTGCGACTAAAAGATTTTAAACTTAACTCTTCTAGTGTGGC